TGCCAGCCGCTTGTAGAATGCTTCATCCGCCCCTTCATCCTGCTTGGGTGGTCTATAACAGACTCCCAGCAGGATATCTGCCTCGTTGGCCTTCCCCCTCATCCTTACCCATAAACACTCGACCGTATCATCATCACAGTCGTTGAGCTCTATACAATCGAAACACTCCGTAACATACAGGGCCACCCCACCGCCTCTCCTTCCTTGCCTGTCCCTTCTGAAGAGTTTATAGCCATCCGTTGCAGCACTCCAATCATGAGAGTCACCCCACCATGTTTCTGTGATGGCAACTAAGTCATATCTCTCCCGGTAATGCTACAGAGCATAGCTAGTCCACTTTTCTGTTGTTGCTCAGGAGTCTGAATGTGCATATACCTCTCCTGTGTAAAATCACAAGATTTTAACTGCTTCGTAAGAGATTTAGGCCTGAAGTTAACACTTGTGCCTTACTTAATCCAGATATTTCAGTTTCTTTGAAGATACAAGGGCAAATTTTAAGGCAGTTCAGCTAGATTTGAAAAGTTAGGTGACAAGTAATTGTTTTTCTCCTGTAATAAAATTGTTATGGTAATACATAGCAAACAAGGAAACAACCTGTAAAATGCTTTTCCATATCTTTATTAATAGTGTGTTTTGCTGTTGACTTCATTTCACTGTATGTTTTGCACTAGGTTACCTTATCATATCTGACAGTGTAGTTTCACAGCTAATGTTCATTTAAATGGGAATATGTTTGGTAACAAGGATTAGTTGTTGCAATAACAATAATAGTCTAAATGAAACCAGAATTGATGATCAGATCAGTCAAGAAAAGTCTCTCAGTAGGCTACTTTCTGCAGCGTTTCATAACAAATAAGAATTTTTGCACTAGGTTACCTTATCATATCTGACAGTGTAGTTTCACAGCTAATGTTCATTTAAATGGGAATATGTTTGGTAACAAGGATTAGTTGTTGCAATAACAATAATAGTCTAAATGAAAGCAGAATTGATGATCAGATCAGTCAAGAAAAGTCTCTCAGTAGGCTACTTTCTGCAGCGTTTCATAACAAATAAGAATTTTCCTAAATTTAAACTTGTGTTTCTGTTAACCTGTTCAGCTTGTATAAGTCGTGGATGTATAAGGCTGTTTTTTATCCCTAGAAATTCATCTATTTACTAAATTATTTCTTCTGTTTCTAAGTAGAGCAGATAAGAATTCCTGTTGGCAGAAGTTAATAGTGAGAATGTGAAGGCATAGAAACAAACTTGTTTGCAGAAACACATTTGCAAATTTCAAGAGGACAGATTTTTTGGTTAAGTGAGGTTGCTGTTCCAGTGTGGTCACTGACTAGTTGCTTGCAACCAACACTGGTTGATTCAGAATTGGCTTAAAATACTCTAAAGTGCAGGCTAGTATTAAAAGGGCAGTCCTTCCCAGACCTTGTTGTGCATTGCATCTTAATAACCTTGTATTTGATACAAATCAGCTCCTTGATCCAACTGGATACCACCTTTATGGAAGAAGGCTGTTAAAATTAATTTTCAGACTGATCAAGGGTGGTGGCTTGGAGTCTGGCCATCCAGTTTTAGATTTGTTTATGTTGCTGTGGATTCACTGTTCCTGTGGTCAGGTCTCTTCTGTGCTTCAGACTAAAATTTGAGCTTGGCTTCATGTCATAGGTGGTTGCCTAGCTGTGTGTTTTGCATTTTTCAGACTTTGTTTTAAAGCTGTTCTGGTTTTTATGAATAAATATGTACTGAATGAAAACTTGAATCTTGCTTTCTTAAAATCAGAGTTACAATTCTTCCATCAAGAATATAAATTAGAATAATTCGACAGAAGAAATTGAGAAACTGAGATGGATTGTCATAGGAGGGTTTCTTGTAGTGTGAGAAAACAAGTTTTAATTAATGCACCTGTAATAAAGCATGTGCTTATAGCCCGGTTATGGATCCCCATCCACAGGTAGTAGGAGTTTCTATATACAGCAGTTTGTTTTAGTACAGCGAGGCAAGAACATGAGTTACCTTTGTTAGTCTCAGTAACAGTGCTGATAACAGTAAGTGTAGGACAATTAAGAATTGGTGGAAGTATATAAGAATGTTATATACAAACCAGTAGTATCTTCATTGTCTGAATATCTATAAAACGATCTGTTCATCAAATTTGTAATGTGTTCTTAATGAGTTGAAGTTTATTTCAACAGCTTTATGTATGTTTGCTAGCATTATGTGAAGTGTACTACTTCCTTGTTTAAAGACTTGGAGAACAACAGAGTAGGCAGTGAAGTTTAGCAACTTCATCCTTATGCGAAGCAAATAAAACCAATAAAAAATAAAAAAAAAAAGAAACAACTGAAAACAACCACTTTTCATCATAGGAATAAAAACATGAAAGCCAGCTATTTTCCTGACTGGATATCGTCTCCTTGAAGTCCTGTTTGGTGGGTTGTTGTGAAACAGCATTTTTCAGAAAAGTGGCATATTGCAAGTACTGTAATTTTTACCTGAAAACATAATTAAATCAGATTTTTAGCTTTCTGCCAGTATATCTTGATAAAGATGATTCTGATATGGTGCTTTTCCTTCTGAAACCCAGTCTTCTATTCTGTTTCTGATTCCAGAAACAATCCTATTGCCATCGGAAGTCATGTCCTACTCATAAAAAAAAAAATAGGACTAGAAGAGAGGTAGAGGGTTCATTTCATCCATCCTTCTTCCTCAAAGCAGGATAACTTATATGTGCACTATTCCTAACACACTTTTGTCTAACTTAATCATAAAAACTTCTAATGATGGAGCTTTTACAAGATCTCCAAGGTAATCCATTCCAGTGCTTAGTTATTCTTACCATTAAATTTTTTCCAGTGTTCATTTAAATAGCCCTTGCTACATTCTCTGTAGCCAGCACTTAACACTTTCTCTTTTTAATAAATTTTACAGGTTTGAGGACTGTTACCATGTCTTCATCAGCAGTCTCCTAAACACTAGCAACTTAAGCATTTTATTCAGATCTTTTTTAAGATGCAAATGTGCTCCGGATAATTCTTAAATAACAGGAAAGATGAAAACCCTTAACTGCAGTTTCTCAGTTACTCTATTATCCAGAGTTGCACAGCAATTAGTGCTTGTATTTATATAACACTTGGAATCACTGACATATAACCAACTACACTTTTGTTTCTAGGTGAAAAATTTAGAGAACTAATGGATAAGTTCCTGAGGGTTAACTTCAGTAAAGGCTGCCCACCCTTGTTTACCACTTTGAAATCTTTATATTACAATCCAGAAAAGGTAAAATTTAGTATTTATTTGGTTTTAATGAAGTCTTCTATATTGAATTTCTAATAGATTATCTGTTTTTATATAGATTGTCCTGTAACTTACCAATAACTGTTGCTGAACATTTTTCTCCTTAATGTGCTATATTGTCATATACGAATGATCACTTGATGATGCTTAATATGTATGAAACTTCACTTCTGTAGACAGCTGATGTCAAAATGCTTGAAGTTGGATTGGTGCAGAATGCACTGAGGTTCTTAAAATCAAAGATAACCAATAACTTTATTTTTGTGTACTTTGAGTGCAAGCGTGTGAGGATTCTTTTACCTTATGGTTTATGATGTCACCAGAAGTCATGATTTTAAAATATCACACAGATGGCCATTGTTCTACGTACACTTCTGAATTGCATGAATACATGAACACGTTAGAATTTACCACAAAGGCTTGTTTCCCATTTAAGTCTTTAGCTAAAACTTTAGTGTTTAATTTTTGCACGTCTAAACTCTCACAGTTTTGGCAAAATTGTGTCACATTAGAACTATTGTTTCAAATGTAGTTCTTCATTCCAAGCTCGTCAGTAAGGTATAGTAGAAATAAATTTTCGAACTAAAGCATGTTACTAAAATGTGTAGAAAATAAAGGTCAGTCTATTCAGATGTTGCTATCTTTGCTACAAGCAATAAAACTCTGGGTATTCTAATCCATTCATGACTAGGTAAGAAGAGGTTTTTGTATCTGGAAAAACCCTAAATACATGATGCAGCTTTTCAGCCAGCAGTGGATATTCCTTTAATTGGACTAAAATTATTCTTTTGAAGAGTCTCTTTGCTAGTTGTCCTAACATGAAATTTTCAGTACGCTTCTCTTTGGAGATTGTAGTCTGGACTGTGTCTCCATGGTTGACATAATTTTAGTAAATTCCAGTGTCATGTATAGTACAAGCTTTTCTACAGTGCCTATTGCTAATGCATACTCTTCAATGTAAGCTTTTGGAATGGCATTGAAATTTTTTAGATGATGATACACTGACTATCTAGATAGAAATAGAGTCAGTGCTGTGAAAGTTTTACCTCTGCTGTTTGAAGTATGAAAATCTAGAAGTTAAAAGATACATATAAACTCATTTGGTGTGTGAAAAGATTTTTAGCACTTAATTGTTTTTGACCTGCTGGGTAGAAAAAATGAGGACTACCATGTTTTGGGGCAGACTTACCCAGTAAGTTCCTTGCTGCTAGTTATCTTCGTTGTATCAAATCAGTGCTGCTTGGAACTGCCAGCTTAATCCTAAAAAGTTATTAAAATTAAAATCAAGAGCCTCACAATTTCCAAATATGCTTGGATTTGTTTGTGCTGTTAACTTCTGCAAACGCATTTTCCTCTTTTCTTGTCCTTCCCTTATCAAGACAGGGTCTCTTTCACACTTCACTTGGTTGGGTTTTCATGTAACTATAGTGTAACAGAAGGATCTCTGAAACTAAGAGAAACTTTAATTTTAGTCTCCGACAGTTAATTTTAGAATTGCTAAAATTTAAGGATTAGGGGGCAGAAAATTGTGGCGAGCTAATGTGTGCTATACCTTGCAGGAAAATGTTGTATTTCGGTATCTAACTTCTCTAAGTTGGTGCCTAACACTAGCTTCCCGCATAAATTACTGGTGTATTTTGACTGAAAATAGAAAGAATTGTAGTTAGGATCGTGTTATGCCTGCTATAAAATACCTGGCAAATTACTGAATTCCCTATAAGTTGGGAATGAACAGTTCCCCACTTACTTCTTTAGAAACAGGTGTAATTTGGTGTAGTCAATTGCAGTTAAATTTTGAAATGGCATAGATATGAGGATTTTATGAAAGAGTTGGTATTTAAGCCTAGAAAGTTCCTTCTTTCTAGAACTCCAGGTGGGTCCAGGATCTTTCATAAACCATAGTTTTGGGAAAAAGGTGAAATAAGCAATATTTATATTAATAGAAGTTTTCTATTTGTATGTACTTAACTCAGATATAAAATATTGCAGCAACTTTTTTATGTAGGAAAGGAAAATGTCAATTACTTAACTCAGTACTTGTGAGAATACAAAGGAATAGTGGGGAAAAAATATAGCTTTACTTGCTCAGTGAAGATGAGGATTATATTTCTCAGTAAGTAGCTCTTAACATTTTGGTGTTAAGAACACCTTTTACACCTGAGTGGAGAGACCAAAAGGTAATGTAAAGAGTAGCTGATTCTAGAGGAAAAATGTTTGTCTGCCCTGTGTTTGGAGAGGGCAAGGGGGAAAAAAGCTGGTTGTATAGAAGGCAAACATTTGTCAAATGTGTTCAGGAAAATGTTGTTTGTTACCTAGTTACTATAAGTTGGTATTTCGTACTAAATGCTGTAAATAAAAATTGCTGCCATATTTTGATTTAAAAAAAGATTCTAGTCTACTAACATTAGTTAACAGTTTCGGGTGAAATCTAGCTTCAGGTACACAGAGCTGCAAAGCTTTAGGACTTGCACAGATCAAAGTGAAGACTATTCGGGGAAGTTCTAGAAACTCTTCAGTACTTACACTGCTTAGAAAGACTCAAAATACCAAGGTTATAGGTCAGAAGTTATACTTTGTATTCCAATACAGACATTGTTGTGATAAAGATCTAAACCAGATTTGCTGTACTTGTGGAAGTTGTGCAAGTAACATGAGACCAAAAACCAGAATTTCTCCTTATTTTCTATTTAAGGAGTTGAAGTTCAGCTGTGTCTTATGATGATCAACTAGCAGTGTTTTAGTATGTTAGCATTGACTTGATCAAAGATCCTTTAAGCAGTTAAGGAGTTTAAAAGGTAAATTGCTTAACAAATGAGTAATCAAATCCACCAAGAACACACTGGAGTAATTTACAAGTTGGCCAAATATTACATTTAACTTTTTTCAGCCACACTCATTTTCGTTTTGAGAATTGTTTGACAAGATCCTTTTCTGGTATACATATTTGTTATGCTCTGAGTTGTCTTAGGGAGACTAGAAGTGTCTGATACTTGACTGAATTTTTTGTTTTGTTCCTTGAAATCTAATCTGAGACCTCATTGGAGATCAATAAGCTGTGTCTAAATGAAGGATCCTGAAGACAGAGAAGGTAGTCTTTTTGTTGTTTCAATGTTTCTAGGAATAGGAAAAAAACAGAATTATCTTTGCATAGCTTATCATAAAGGGTATATTGTGCTCCTGTACATTCCTGCTTTCAAATAATCATTTTCATGTATTTGATTAAATCAAAAAAGTATAGTTCTTGTATGCTAAGCATAACTTTTGACAAAATAAAAAATTTGGCATGACTGTCATCCAGTAAAAAGATGGCTGAAATAGTTCTCTTTAGCTCCATTTTCTTGGTTCTGCTTTTTTTGGGTAGGTGAATTATTTTAGGCAGATGTGTGTTCAGATTTCAAAAACTTTCAGTTTGGTTGGTTGTCTCCCAAATTCTCTGGAATACGTTTTTAACAGTCAAGGAATGACATTAAGTTCCAGATTCAGGCATGTGAATGTCGGTCAGTGGACATAGAGGACTGTTCAGCTCACCACCATATGTGGCTTCCTACATAGGATCAGTTGAGCCTTGATAGCTGTTCATTTTGGCTGTGCTAGGTAGATCTGATAGATCTGTTTAGATTGTAGGGGGAGCACAGGCACCTATATTATGGTTATCTAAGTATAGATGTCTGAACCTGAAGGTACCTACTGTGTGTCCCATATGTTTCACTGGGGTGTGTTGGGAACTGTTTATACTTGTTCGCAAAGTATCTGTTATATGAGTACTTTGTATCTATGAAACTAACATTGAGCAAGCTTTACCAGTTGCTTTTAGAAAGAATCAATGAATGTCCCACCAAAAACCAAAACTGAAATAGCTGAAGTGCTAACTAGGTGGAGTGGATGTCACTTTTTCAGCTACCGAACTGGATTTTGTTTACGTACTTGTGTGAATATGAGGTGGATAAATGTGTGGAGTACAACTGGTTCTTCATCACTTCACTAAAGAATATGCTTTACTTCGGTTAAGGAGGAAAGATGTGTTTAATCTTCCTTCACACTTAAAATAGAACTGTTGTTTAAGATCCTTTGGGTGAAGTCACAGAAGGGTACCAAAAGTGGGAAAGACATCATAGTACAATAATGTAAAGCTATTTGTTTCATGGAAAAAAAAATTATCTTAAGGTTATTGCTGGAAGAGACTTTCTTCGAGTCTCAGACCCAAAGGAATGAGGATCCGAAATCTGTTCAGTAAAGAAAGTTTGCGTATAGCTTTGTTGCTTTTTGGCATTCTCAGACTTTTTTGAGGTAAAATCTTCCCTAATAAATAAGTCTCTAATGAGTTAAAGTATACTTTGTTATGCAATCTGTCTTCCCTAAAATTCTGGAGCAGAAAAAAATCTGTGTTGGCCTTGTGTTCATTGTGATGCGCAGAAGTTTATATTTGTCTGTACAACTGGGTTGAAAAGGAAACTGTTCAAGATTTGCTAACTGCTTGAAACTTGGACGCTTGGGAAGGTGGCAGAGATAGTATGGTGAAACCTGGGATAAGCAGGTTGGCTGGATGTTTCATCACAATCTCGGCAATATTGTTTGTTACCTTCTAGGAGTGAGTTGTTAACCCACTGAGATTTGAGATGATTGTTTCAGAGGTACTTAGGCAGACTTTAAAATAACTCTGGAAGCTGATGGGGAGGGGGAGAAAGTGTTAAGCTTGCTTTGCCGTAGATTACTGTACGTACATTGCAACAAGATCTAATTGCGGATTCTGTGGTCTTTCACTGCTTGCAAAGCAGTGATGTGACTAATGTTTTTCTCCCTAGTTTTAGAAGGTAGTTACCCAATGAATTGTGTAATCCTTCAAAGTTCTTCGAATGAGGTTGTGATTCTTTAGGTTTTGTGCTGTTATGCTAGTCTGATATGTAGCATGTGAACTGTTTTTCGGCTGTTTCTTCCTCTTTGTCAAGCCACCTAGACTGGAGGAGATATAAGTAGTAGAGACT